CGCCGCCGCTAGCGCCTGCCATTTTTGCCATCTGTATAATTCCCCGGTTTGTATAACTCTGCTATTTGTCGTCGCCATACGCTTTCCATTCTTTTCGGCGTGAATTAGTGTTGTTTGTATGCTTGAGTTTTTTTTTTTTCCATTTTGAAGTGAGCGCCTGAAGTCACTGTTTTGGGCCCTGGGGTTGGAATCTCTCACACGCAGCATGTGGACGAGCAATGGCTTCGGTATTTCCGGAGCGTGTGGAATTTGCTGAAACTAACGAAAATATTATAGCGCCATCGGTGCTACCACTCATCGTCATTCCTAGCTAGTTTGAGTTGCACGGAGATCCCCCACCACGTTTGGTTGTGCCTTTCAGCTATGTAATTGTGCATGTCACAATGTCCGCATTTTTTGTAAGTGATTTTTCTCTTTTTCGTCGTTCTGTTTTGTTTTGTTTTTTCCTCGTTTTTTCTTTTTATTCTTTCCCTTTCCATGATTTTTTTTTGTGTGTTTGCTACTGGGCACATTTTATCTGTTTAAACTTCCTGTAAATTGATGTCGTTCCGGTTTTGTATAAAATTTTTATTGAGCTATCATTTTGTTTGCGTTCACATAATATATTGGTGAGGAAGCTTGTGAGGTACAGCTGAGATTCTGTGATTTGTCTAGCTTAGCTATTATTGCTAAAACGGAGGTTTGGGGGAAGGACTTCAGGTCAGCATAGCTGAAGAGCTTCAGCGGTACCAGCACATAAGGACTCTTCTAAAACATAACAACCTTGTGATATCAACTGAATATTCCGGAAATGGGACATCGATGGCTTAAAGATTGTTGGGCGGCAGATCTGGAACACTGTTAGTTTCAGCACAAAGAGCAGGATGTGTAACCTTATTGTTAAAAATTTCTAGGTTGGCTCATTGGAGGGTGAGAGCTTTGCAGTTGTAAGTGAGGGCAGCAAGGTTATTGGGCTATGTGAGAGGACCAATGTAGGGAGGGGGAGGGGGGTCTATTGCTGATCGCCTCGCACCTGGAGCTGGGATTCCATTGGTGATCTTATACAAGCAGTGATGTGAAAGAAGTGAAA